TAGAGTCTAGAACTGGCGTAATAGAGTGAAACTCATCCACGTAACAATATTCCTTCACACATCATACCTTTCTATCTCCTCTCAGGTCAATAAGGTCAAGGCCGGAAGATGTGCTTATGCATGCTTTGTGCTCAGTACCTAGATATACACGACGATGCACAATAAAAAGAACATCTTCGGGAAAACTACATCTTTCCTCCACACCACAAGTAGTGCCTGAAGCATGTATCTCGTCCTTATCTTTTCATCGGCAGCATGCAAACAGAGAGAGTCGTGTCTCTTTGGGATGTTAGTCTCTGCGCGCACCTTCCTCGATTCATATCTCTATTATCTGGTCCACATACTCTTCAACTTGCTTGGATTGTACGTGATTGAGAGCCCTTCGGCTTCCATTTTCCTGGTTCGCGATCCTATACAATCACGGACACCACTATACACCATAGGGAATATCGTCCAACCAACAATGAATTTGGCGTCTGATAATCAAACGGTCAGAAGCAACGACTCTATATCATGTTATCTCTACGCTCCGAGGAAGTGCAGCGATGGACTCGATGTAGCATGTGCTCTTTCGTCTTCTCGTCATGGGGAGAGTGAAACACAGGATAACTGCCATTTGACCGCAACTCATCGTGCCATGTACCACTATGGCGCATCGAGATTGTGATCATTGCTGGGCATAGCGAACCAATTCAATGCTGAGGATATAAAAACTACCACAGAAATAACATCAGTTGGTCATTCTACCTCATGCTCTTTTCTTTGTTACCCATAGTTCTGACGGCATTGCCCGCCGTCCTTGGAGGTCAAATTCCTATCGTAGATGGTGTTCATGGTGGCGTACGAAACGCAAATGGAAGCAGTCGGGGAACTATCAAGCCCGCCGACCTTTCTGTCGCTGCTACCACTCCAGGGAAAATCCGTGCTGTGGAAAACACTGGAATATGTGGTGAGTAGGGATTTCGTGGTTCCATCCACTGCCCGCCGCTGATTCCCAATCATCCGTTTTAGAAACCACGCCCGGCGTTTATTCAGCCTCTGGATATGGGGACTTGACATCTACTGAAAGTTTATTGTACGTTGACACCCAACTCGGATTGAGGAAGTTGCTCAAACAGTCTGGCACTCCAGTTTCTGGTATTTTGCGGCCCGCGAGAACAATGATACAGCTCCTCTCGCTCTCTGGTTCAACGGAGGTGTAAGTTAAATTGTTCATCATCAGCTCGCAAATTTGCTCATTGCCTGCCTTTTTTCCCCGAAGCCCGGAAGTTCTAGCATGCTGGGCTTATTCCAGGAGCTAGGACCGTGCCGCATCAACAATGCTAGTACAGCAGTGTCGCTCAATCCTAATTCCTGGAACACCAAAGCGAACTTACTGTTCATAGACCAACCTGTAGGAGTGGGTAAGTATCATCGTACATCTCGTGGTTTGTCAGTGTATCACAACCTTCCCAGGTTTCTCGCACGGGACCATGAATGTCGGGACATCAGAAGAGGCTGCAGCCGACGTTTGGACGTTCTTACAGATATTTTTATCTGATAGCAGGTTTTCCAGCCTGCAGAGTCATGATCTCGCTATTTGGACAGAATCGTGCGACAAATTTCTATTTGAGTCGTTGTGTCAAAACTGAAAGTTGGCGGGTGCTGCAGATACGGTGGTCATTACGGACCAACTTTCGCAGCGTCAGTAGCTGCCTTTACGTGATTGTAAACAACATGGATAGATCCTTTGATTTTCAGGTATTTCCTGTCACAGAATGCAGCCATAGCAAAGGGCACCATATCCGGTATCACCTTGAATCTCAAAACCCTCGGCGTGGGTGATGGACTCACGGTCAGGACTACTTGTCTGTTAAACATACAACTCCTTGAACTATCTCTTCCAGGATCCTTTGTCACAATATCCCGGATACATCACGTATGCTGGATCCAACCCCTACCATGCCCTTGTATCGGAATCTACTATTGCTCGGGCCAATTCCTCATTCCTTTCTTCTACAGGGTGTAAAGAACAGGTTCGTATCGCTTCTCCTTCTCACAACGAGATTTCCACCGATTGTTCTTATCTCTGTTCATGGCTTATTCGTTTGCCTAGATCACAGCATGCAACAACGGCGGTTCCAACTCTGTGTGCTCCGCTGCCCAGTCGTTCTGCAACAACAACATCTTGTCCCCTCTGGCAGGCAACTTTGATGTATGTCATAATCTTCTTTTCTATCGGGGCCTGAACAGAAGTATTTCATCATCTGCGCTCTTCCTTGATAGGTCTATTACATTCTCGCCACGAACCCTGATCCGTACCCCCCTGACTTGACCAGCTATCTCAGAACCATCGAAACCGAAGTTGGTGCTGAGTCTACGTGGCAAGAAACCAATGATAATGTGTATGATAATTTCGCGTCAACCGGTATGCTGTGTTTGTCTCGTTTATATTCCGACTACTGATATCATCGAAGGTGACTGGATGAGAAACTCTCGCCCTGACCTTGAAACTGTCATTGACGCAGGTGTACGTGATATTCTGCTCGAGTCACATTTTCTATCTATCTCAACAGCCTTTCTGATAGGTCCGAGTCGTGGTTTATGATGGTGATGCTGTGCGTTACAGCCTTAACTAACGCTCGAAGCCACTTGCTCATCACAAATCACTTCTTAGGACTACATCCTCAATTTCAATGGAGTAGAGGCAATGGTTAACTCGCCTCTCTGGTTTTTGAAGGCTTCTGTTCTGATGTAATTCATAGGTGAACAACCTCGATATGCAATTTACCTCTATCTTGCAAGCACAGTCCTTTGAGTCTTGGACTGTTGATGGTCAACTTGCAGGACAAGTGAAGAACGCTGGAACGTTTTCTTACATCCGGATATACGGTGCTGGTCATGAGGTAACGAATGCTCTTCGAATCATTACAGCACTTTGCTTATCTCCTTGGTGCTCTTTAGGTACCGGCATACAAGGTTCGCATATCTTTCATTTCATATGATGCTTTCACTGACCTTGAGTTTACAGTTTGGGAGTTTGGCTTATGGGCAGGCTGCTTTGCAGATGTTTGAACAAATCATGTCTAACCAGTCTCTAACCTCGACGTAGAGGTTTCTGCTATCACTAGCCTTGTGTTCACCTTGAATCTAAAGTGGTCTTTCCTACGTATGTCACTCCTCGTACAAACGATGAGAGTTGGGATCGCAGTCGTCATGGGTTGATATCAAGACAACTGACGGCACGAAGAAATAAACTTTCGATCGACCGTCTGAGGAAAACTCATCGTTATTGGTAACTGGGGTATCTCTTGGATCTCCGTAGCGGGTCTACAACGAACCGATTCTACTAGCTGCCCCAACACCCGATATTTACACAACAAGCCTGGCTTCATCGTATCTATGATAGCGACCTGTAAGCCGACAGGAGCGGCCGGATCATATCTCTTAGCGCATGAGGTACGAGGCTGATCTCTCTGTGTTTGAAGAGAGTTGGGAAAGACGCCCAGTGTAGTCACACATTTGACCTGATTCAAAGCTCTGGTCAAGGGTTGCTCTCAACGAACGTGGAACCATGTCCACGGGTACGAATACCCCTGTATACATTTATGGAGACTGGGTTTACCCAGTTCTCAGCGCATGTTTGAAACTGTATACAACTGTAAGACCGAGTCGCGCATGCAGTTACTTCCTAGTACCGCGTTGCCGACCGCCTGACTGCAGCAAAGATTACGCTACACGCCTTTTCAATTGCGAGAATGCGTTGCAAAAATTGCTTGACAGAAGTAATTGAGCACAGGCGCATGACGGCTCTACATACAGCACCCCCCCTTGCACCATCTAGCCTTCCTTCAAAACTTTACCTTCCACTCGACCTTGCCTCCCGCGCCTGTGCTGCCCTGCATGCAAAACAATACTCGTCCACCTGATCTATGTTTCTCTGTATTTCTTGACCAAAATTCTAATGTCATCACGGTTGTAGGTCAGTCAGTCCACGGACCCGGTTTGCTGGTGCACCCCGTTGTCGGAATCGATGCTCACCTTCAAGCATCCTGGTGATCGACAATGTCGTGGGTGAGCATAACTGCGCTCGCAACGACTGGAGTTGCAATCCATTATTGCTGTGACCCTATGTCTTTGAAAATGCTGAATCATTCTGCTAAGAACCTAGGGGACGGCGAATGAATGGTCGAAACATACGCCACATTTAAGCCATCGCGTTCCTTCACTAGGATATGGCATGAATCAAAAAGCAGGTGAACTTGGAAGAACAATAATACCTACGCTATTTGTTGACACATTTAATACTTGCGGGGGACAACCTTGGAGGATAGTGAGTTGTGTCAATGGTATCACAGGTGCAGAGTCAACGACGTTCACCGTTGAGCACTCTCATACTTATACGAAGCCGAATTTTGAGATAGCGGCATTCCCCATTGAAATTGACTTCGGGAATTATGGAACCATCAACAGCTAGTCTCATCGGTTTTAGTACTTCTTAGCCTTCATGAGAGATTACCTTGCTACGGCACATGTTTAAGAGCTTTTTCTGGTCTTGCTTCCACTAGTCTTCAGAGATTAAGAGAGAACTAGGTGCATGTGATGCTGAGTAGAATGTGTAGCAATTTGAATATCTCCTCTGACGGTAGTATTGAATTCAACATGAGTACTCGGAAAGTGATAGGAAACAAGAAGAAAACCGAACTATTCGAAGAGATTCATGAAACTCCAGTAATTCTGATCCCGTAACTCTCATTGTGAGTTCCTTTCGACTTCCAACTTCCTTTCCTGTGGTTGAGTCCGTCAAGTTTCTTTCAATTTCCTATCGGCCCGTTATCTCTCTGAAACGACGATGAAGCATTGTATGTGAATTTTGTCCACTTTCAAGTGGTGGAAATTCAACCTTCCTTTATGACTATTCATTTGTCGTATAGTACTAGTAGTGGCGAGAGGGTCTTCAAGTTGATGATTCGAAAAAATTGTTATCAGCCTGGTGGGGATGTAGCTAATTGTTCATTTGTGGCCGACTAGCTCAGTTGGTTAGAGCGTCGTGCTAATATCAGAGTCAATGCTTGCTCGAATTAACGCGAAGGTCTTGGGTTCGATCTCCACGTTGGCCAGGTTTTCTTTTTTTGTAGGCGAAGCTCTTAGTTACTAACTAACGCCTCGTTCATTGTAAGGAGATTACGGTACAAAGCATATCAACGAGATACAAATTCTTGGTAGAACCACAGAGAAGATAAGAAGTCCAAAATGATGACATACAAGGGTCCGTTGCAGCTGTACAGAATAAGGATCGGAAGAGTTTTTCGATATCCCCAACTCTACAAGACTATAGTTGCGTACGACTGCAAAAGTAAGTACAATAAAGAGGAGCATCCGAAATACGAGTCACGGGAAGACATATCGATCCAACAAAACAAGGCGACTGCAGCGTGTAGAACGCATGTCTTTTTGCTTCTAGAAGGTTGCAATCATCTAATCTCAACGTCTTATTAAGTATTCACCTTTGAATTCTTCATCATATACAATACGCGAATCACCTAGTCCCTCTTCAGATTCCTCCTCAGTACAAAGATACGTTCGCCGTCATTCGTAACTGTCATTTCCTGTACACCATCAAAGTTCTCTAATCCATGAAGGGGGCTTCCTTTCGCCAAAACGATGAACATTTCGAGACCATCACCGACCTGGATGGAGAAGATGAGTAAGTTTGATGAGAGAAGAAGATGTACGGATTCTCGATAAGAGACGATGACATACCTCAATATGCCTTTCTGTTGCACTCGTGAACGAGTCAATCACTAGTTCAATTACTGTCGTTAACGGAAGATGTTGTGGATGAGGACGGCCAGGTAGAGCAACTTGATTCTTGAAATATATCTATTCATATGAGTCGTTAGGACAATCAAAAAATCTCCAGACATATTGGCGGTAAAAGGGAACGACGATAGAAACAAAGCCAAGAGAGTCAGTTCGACTACAGGCCATGATGGCTACAAACTGTTGAGACCGAAAGAGTATCCAGTGAACCACATTCCGTCAATGGATCGCAAGGATCGCAAACCAGCTGGCACGGAACGTTCGAGTTTTCCGATAGTTCCAACAAATTCCTTGATCCTGGTCCGCAACTCCACTGGCAACCTATACTTTCCACGGTTTTCTCCCATTTGAGAGAAGAAACATGCGGCACAGAGCAACAAGTAGAATAGGCAAATGAATGAGCTGAGAAAAAAAGCAAGAAAAGAGGGGTTTGATGAAGCATGCTCAACATTAACGAAGATAGCCACACGCCTCGTTGGAGCAAAGAGCAAGGAGCAAGAGAATGCTGAGGTCGAAAAAGGAAAAAACACAACAGCCCGTGAATGAAGCATCGGTGAAGCATCGGAAATGCTCAATAATCCTTCATCATAGGACGGCGATGAGGTTAGGCTAAGGAAAAAGAAACCACAGCAACAGCCGGCAGTGAAAATTGAAGCTGCGCGGGACGGGTGCTAACAGAAATAGAAACGGCGTATTGCAACCACCAACGGTGGTTCAAGACGGAGGAACAAAGAAAAGTGACCACAAGAACAAGATTTCACCTGGTTATCCAAGAATGGTTGAACTAAGGATTGAGCTGCGCCTGCTGCACGACAAGATTCACGCTCGTACGAGCCCACGGGATCAAAAGAGTAGACTGCTCCGGACCCTGTGACGAATCAAGTGTTGGAGATTTTTATCATGCGGAGAGTAGAAGGAATGAAGTCGGAATTGATTAGGAATTACGATGGGGAGCTATTAGTCCGAGAGTGCTTGCGCTGATCAAGGAGGAAAACGTACCATCTTCCTCGATTCCGCCTAATATGTTGTAGACATAATAGGGGAAAAATCGGCGAGCATACAGCATTGTTTGGATTAGACGTGCAATGGCACGTAGAGGCATGTCCTTTGCGTGAGCGTGTCGGTACCACTACAATCTAAGATAAGACCAGATTCATCAGTAACCGGACATGACGCTCACCTCTAAACGTTGCCTGACTTGCTTCACAAACATATTTCCATCTGCAGCGAATCCATTCACGGCCAATACAGCATTATCTGTTCTAGAAAGGAAGTGAGATCTTGCATTACTTGGAGAGGCGCGTCGACACTTACAATCGGAACACTTTGGGAGCATACCGCGTCTGAATCGAGTAGCCTTCGCTCTGCCTCGTATCACCAGCGATGACACTAAAGTCTGCACCAGAAATCGCTAGGATCGTTCCGCCGTTTTCACTATACGGGTTGAATTGACGTTGTTGAGGTTTACCAGAAGGGGCAGAATAGGGAAGGGTGACCATGTCAGGCATTTGAAAGGCTGTAGAGAACGTTGTGGAGGATGTTGTGGTGTACGAACAAGGTGGTTCTAAGGATATTCTCCGTGAAAGCAGACGCGCAAGCAAAATTTGGTGCGTAAGCCCTTTACTTAACTGACGCGGCCTATGGTGGGAAAATCAGATGGCTTTTTGCTTGCCGAGTTTTCACCGACAGTCCCCAATTTCTTCTTTCTTACATTCATCTTGCTCTTACTTATGGCGATAGGATCACTATTACTTATGCACGAAACTTTATCCCATTCTGGCTGTGGTTTTTTTGGCTCAACCCTCGAAAGGCGCGGGAATCAGTTCGCAAGTTCCTGAGATTTAGAAAAGTCCTCTCTTCTCTATTGTCGTATCTCACCCCTTTGGGTTTTCCTTCAACAGCATTCTACCGACAACTCACCGTTCCCGGTGTTGGCTTATGTGACGGTCTAGGTGAAAAACTTTTACTATTCCAAGATGCAATCAGAACTCGTTTCTGCGACTTACAGAATGAATTTCAGCCTCGGCCGCTTTGACGTTCACACCCAAGTGTGGCCTATCGACCATATCATCGCTTTCCGTGGGTATATGTACAGGACGTCCTATCAGTACGATAGGGAACTTGAAGGTCAGCCTAGTTTCGTTTTCGGAAGGAATGTGTACGCGTTCGGCTACTAATCTACCAAAAGTTGTCTAAACCTCGCCTGTAAAGCTTCCGCAATGTCAAGGCCCAAAAGGCTCCCAATAACCACAGTAAGCAACATTCCGAACCAAGGCAAATGAGGGTAAGTATAGATTTACCACCCGAGAATCTCCATTCCGTAGCGACACCGATTCGCTGTTTCTGCTACATAGCATCATATCTTCTTCTTCTTGCGCTCCATTCTAAGTCTCACGTCTCCAGAAATTGCACTACAGTCTCCAATGGTGACGTTCTACTTTCAGGACCTCGTTAAAAGTTCAAGCAGTGGTTTAATTGGAGTAAGATTTTTCCAAACGCGCTCCACCATCAGTCTACCACAGGTAAGATCAACATATCTTCGCTCTTGATTGTTCCAGGCTATGATTATACTCTTGACATTTTTCTTCACGTCTAGCGGACCCGGAGCTCAACTCACAGGTGATCTCTGGGTGATCTTTCTGCTACGTTTTTCTTGGAGCACACTATTTCCGGGCATCTACGCTTCAAAAAATGAAACCACAACCTTTCACTCAGACTCTCATGAAACAGCAGCTTGTTTGCTTCGCGAGGCACGAGCATCTCACGTTCAGCTTCACGTGGAACACATGTCTATACTTCAAATTTCACTCCAATTAAAAGTCCTACGCGCATAATGCTCTCAAACATCGCCGCGGATGGTACTCATTGGTCCACGCGTGGAGAATGTACTGTTTGTGAGTCCGACCATCTGGATTTCATTCGCTGTGGTAAGTTTGTTGGTATCATGTTTCCGAATGTCTCCATGCTTCCACAACAAGACGATGACTCCCACTCTCTCGTCGACGAGGTGGTGCTTATTATGGAATACAGGAACGGCAAGCATGCCTTCCTCACTTTTCTCTCTCGAGTCTCGTTTTCTCCCTGATCGAAGTGCAAGACTCGGAATCCCTTGCAATGCCGTGCGGTGTCTAGAGCAAACCCTCTATTTCGACGTTGAATGTTCGTTCTATTTTTCTTTCCAGTTTCCTGACCCCTGCTTCATCTGGCTGAGCCTCGTCTGACCTTACCCCACATGGCCACTCGACGCAAGGTTGTGTTCTAGAGCAATGTGGCGTAAGCCGTATGTCCATATAGGTCCACATACGTTTCTGACGCGAACAACTTTCGAGCCTGGGATGCCCGAAGTTTTTCAGTGCCGCACTAAGTGCTATGCGCATCTAATCCAGGTCATCGTGGTCATGCTCACATTCGTCAAGTTTAAACCTATGGGGTGTCCCAGGTTGTCCCAGGTTCAATCTGGGGTGGTGCCAGGTGCCTCATCGATTGCGTAGGCCGAGCTTGGCATCGACAAATATCAATCCCTCGAAGAAGCGATGCGACCCTCGGTCGCCGAAGAAAATCCTCTCCGATAAGCCTCGAATTGAGTCCTTGGTAGCCGGGGGATGTTCATACGCCGTACTGAACGCATGGAGAGAGAACCTGGCTCAAGCATTCGCTTCGTAGGGTCATTCAGGAAATGTGGATATTATTTTGGGACGTCTGGTGCAGTTGGCAATTGAGATGAAGAATATTCTCGCTTTCGATTTGCTATTTGGTGTCTGACATTCTGGGGCTCACCAAAACTCATTGGTGGCAGCATTAGTCGGTCTTTTCGTGTTCTCATGAGCACCTATGTCCGCTAATGACAAGCCTTGTACCAATCTCCAAGAATTCATTGTCTTCGCTGTTTGAGAATTCGTTGCACGAACGCCACCTGCTGATTACTGCCGATGTGCTTCAAATGTGGGTGAAATAGTTAGACATAAATCAGATACTAGCAGTCTTGTCTGAACTCATGACTATCTGCTTGCATTCACTTGTTGTGTGTTTCTGAGGCTTTGAAGACTCGAGGGTTCCCAGTGCATCATGATACATGAAAAGTTCTTTGAGTGTGCACTGAGGTTTTATAGCATCCTTCATTAATACACATATTCGTAATGTACCCCTCCTATCTCAACAGAATCCGATTATTCTTGTGCTGTGATCCCACGTACTGTACGACTGTCAACAGTCAACGTCCAACGTTCAACTTCAAGCGAATTTCCTCAAACCCTAACCCTTCGATGAGAATATGTATCGGCCAACCTCCGCCCGGACG